AGTTGAAAATGGGTTTAGACGTTGATAAATCTAGATTCAATATTGATTCAACGTTGACTTTTCAACGATGAAAATGTAACGTTGATTCAACATTGAATTCAAATTGAGTTGAATTGCCAACATTGATTCAACGTCGGATCTTCGTCGAGCGGGAATCCTATTTTTATCTGATAAATAATTCGTACTATAATAATGTCGGACTATAACATTGTCGGACCATAACGAGGTCGGACTTGACAAAGTTGCACTACCGTATATCATTAATAACTATAACAACTAACAAGAATGGTAAATATATGAATTTTACAAATTCAGTGATTAATATGAATTCAGTACGAATTTGCCAAAGTACGAATTAAGAGCATGCGCAGTATGACATCCGGGAAATATTCAAAAAGACAGGATAACAGTTACTGGTAAGTTTTGATAATTTTAAGATTTTATATATACAGCTGTTTTAAGATTTTAAAAAATATAACTCGATTTGTTATCTTTCTTAATTGCTCGTGATTATGGATGTTTTCGAATTCCATCTGACGCCAATTTCAGTTCAATATATTTTTTTAAAGAATGCATGAAGACCAAATTGAAGACTATTCCATTGTATAGTTTAATTAATTGGTCTTCATAGTTTGAGAGTATTACATCTTGTGTATGTTAAGTGTTAGGATATATAGCATAAACGGATTAAAGATTCTGTAAAAGAAAAAAGGGGGGTGACCACTTGAACATGTTGAAAGGGGAAGTCTACCATCTCCACCGATGGCTTTTGGGCAGTTTTCACGGCACACCGAGTCCCGTTTACATCCCATTCTCACGTCTGTAACATCTTAAGAAACCCTAAATTTTATTTTCAGATTCTTATGGATATGTTTTTGTATAGCTTTACTGGGGGTGCAGTCAGGAATTCCCCGTCTGTTTTCCAGTATATCACTACCCCCTTTTTTATTTGATGGGTAAATCATTATTTTAAAAGTAATTTCCTCTATTAATTGATTTTTTTTTCAAGTCTTGGATTTGAGTTTTACTTGTAAATAATTGTTTTATGAAATATTACTGCTGCACAATTTTGGGTTGAGAAATGGTATCAGGTTTGTTCGCCCTATCTACCTTTTCGCATGAGTCCGTTCGCGCAGGGTCCGTTCGCCATAATTCTTGTACGCCTTATATCTCTTTCGTCATATATCTCGTTCGCCCTAATATATATACAGTATATAGTAAATATTAACATTTATTATTATTTTTTTTCAATATTTTACGACTTGGTGTTCATTTCGGTAGACAGACATCTCGGCCCAACGACACCTCGGCCCGTCAGGCTTGACATCTCGGCTCTGCAGGTCTGCCCAAGATTGTTGACACGTCGGCCCATATTAAAGACAACTCGGCCCAAGCAAAATTTTACGATGGAAAAAAAAAAATAACAGATTAACCCAGCCTTTGAAAATATATTATTATTGGTGTTATTATTCTTTCTGACGATTAAACGATTTTTTTAAATAAAAAATGGGGGGTCTTTGATAGATATAATCTTTTTATTTTTCCAACTTAATTATTAGATCAGTCTTTCATTTACATCCATTTCTTGTGGAAAATGTAATTTATTTCTGCAGTATCACGGTTGCGCGCGTTAATCTTGTATTAGCAAAAAAAAAAAAAAAAAAAAAAAAAAAAAAAAAAAAAAAAGATTCTGAAAAGAAAAACCGTGTCGCGTACTTGCTTTGATACACGTACATAAATAGCCTGGAGGAAAAATGGACTCAAACTAGTTATTTGCGATGATAAAAAATTTATGAAGAGAAATGTTTTTTCTTAAGAAATAAATGAGAAATATTCAATGGATCTAAATGTATTTAATTACTGTCTCCCAATTAAGTCTGCTCGTAATTTACCCTCTGTTGTCACCAATATAACACGTGCCGCGATATTTTGTTTGTTTATCAATGAGTTCTTTAGAAGATCTTTTTTTTTAAAAAAATCTCGATACATGTAGTTTATTCATGTACTTTTTTTCAATCCATGTTTTAAAATTTAATTCAAATCCCAAAGTTGGAAATATATATTTCATAGTAAAATTTTGCTTGGACCGAGGTGTCTTATGTATGGGCCGACATGTCTTAAATCTGGGGCCGACCCGTCTGAGCCGAGATGCCATTGGGCCGAAATGTCAATGAGCCGAGGTGTCGTTGGGCAGAGGTGTCAGACATTCTTTATTTCTTCAAATGTTGCTACAGTATTTTTTTATTTACCATAATCTTAATTGAACAATTCAAATTTGATATTAATGCTTTTTACATGCTTAATTGGTTTAATTATACTGAGTAATGTCACTGTAATTTAGGGGATCATATCCGTGTTTTTTAACAATCTGCGATATGTTTGGAAAACAATTAAAGGACGGAGACGTTAAGGAGGCTGGGGGGTCAACAAATTAACCATCAGATATAACTTAATTTTTTAGATATGATATCTTAAGTTGTCAACTATCATTTGGCAAACAAAAATTTCATACATTTTAGTGTCAAAATTTGATCATTTTTGTATATCTTTATATGGAGCTCTTCTTCTAAAGGAGATTAATATAATCTGAAAATGGCCACAACCACCCAGCCCTCTTAATTTCTGTTGGTCTGCTGGGTCTTTGATAGGAGAGGTATTTAGTGTGACCACATGCATACGTCTGTTGTCTCCCGTCACCCTGTGCAATTTATGTACCAATGTACATATAATTTATTTAAAAAAAATCCATTGGTTCATTATATGCCATTGGCGAACGGACCCTCTGGGAACAAGTTTTAGATCGGACTCTGGGCGAACGAGAATAACGGCGAACGGCGTCAAAGGTGAACAAATTTTAGGGCGAATGAACATACAACCTTGCGAAATTCATGTGTGCTTTTATGGAACACAAACTTTTAACAATTTTTTTTCTTTACTTTCCTGTTACACTTTCAATTTACTTCATTTTATTTTGTGTTTTGTGAATAGTAGGCAAGGCTTATAAAGAGATGGAAGAGATATCATGCAGATATAGATTTAATCTCACGACCAAACAATGATATAGATGTACATTGTAAATGAAGGACATTCCAGCACCTCACAGCCTCCAGCAAATTAAGCAGCTGATGAATGTAAACACATGGAAATCAAATGGTACAATGCATTAACCATTCTCATTACACTTTAAAAATCTGCATTTTAAAGTTTTATTAATAAATATCATTTGCAATTCCAAGAAATTAACTAATTTTTGCATATATATGTGTTAATTTAATAATTCGTTTTTAATAACTATATTTGTCTTTGGATTGATTATTTATAATTTGGAAAAAGCGCAAGATATTAATTGTTTATTTAAGTGTTCGTCAATTTTCACTAAAAGATAATTTTGAATAAAAAGATTATGAGATTGAACACGATTTTAACATATTTCATTATACAAATATTTATTATGTCAAATTGTACATTGTAGGGGTAATCAACTAAAACGCTGCACCAATCTGTCCACTCAGAAGACCAACATAATCCAGGAGAGAACACGAATCAGGCGCCCCAAATCAGGAAAACAACAACACCCCAGGAGTCCAACACCACCCACGAAGACCAACACCACCCTCAGGACTCCAACAACAGGACTCTAACACCAAGATTTAATTAAAACTGAATTTTTTAATGAAATATTTATCGGATTTCCGACATTTTGGCATGAGCATCACTGAGGAGACATAATTTGTCGAAATGCAAATCTGGTGCATCAAAATGGTTACCGTATACGATTTACATCTTATCTTGGAATGTTTTCATGCATTGGACTATTTCTTGACCACAAGTGAAAATAGAAAACGTTTGTAAAATGTTTGGGTTTTGTACTGATTGCATGTAATTTAAAAAATGTATTTTTGTGAAATACATTGTATTTGATCTATTGATAGGAAGTTAATTAAATGTTTACAATATAGATTTATATATGTTTTCCTTTATATAATTATGAAGGCATCTTAGTTAATAAAAAATTAAAATTTTAAATAAGTAATCACCATCCCCCCCCCCCTTCCGAAAAAAAACAACGTTGAATTAACTTTTATTCAATGTCTAATCAACATTGATTTTCAACATTGAATCAACGTTAAGAATTCAACGTTGAACTCAATTTTCAAAATCTTACATAAACTAAACGTTGAATCAACATATATAAGCAACGTTGATTCAAGTTTTTTTTTCAATGTTGTGTGCCTGCTGGGACCATATACCGGTGAAGGGTTTCAAATTTAGACCTATAAACGGCACTCAGTGCCATTGTGCAGTGCGAGTTCTTTATTGTGCTAAAGCCAACCATGACACGGAACCTCAGTTTTTAAGGTCTCATCCGAAAGATCGACCGCGACTTTCACTAATGCCGGACGCTTGGTGAAGGAACAGTCACTCACTGTTTACGAGAATCGAACACAGGCCTCCCGATCTGGAACTCACAGGAAAGAAGATCAGCGTAAAGCATGGGAAAATGTTAAAACAAATTACTAGTAAACAAAATCAAATTATAAAGTACAATTTACGTCTCAAATATACATCATTCTATCAAAATATCATGCATTTTCAATACTTGTCAATTTTCGAGTAGGCGTGCACTTTCCATTTAATAAATGCTTATTAACGTCGCCCAAAATTCAATAGCTCGTGAGTGTAACGCATGTCTTGACACTTAATTATTAAATATCGAGTTTTTTCAATGGCACTTATTAATTAAAATGCTTTAAAATTATACAAGGCTAAACGCTATTTTCCCACACTTTTGACTTCAACTTGTTGTGCTGTGATATGAACAGTCTTGGTATTTTCTGGCATACATTCTTACTTTGAATGGATTTGGATTCACGAAAATAGGAATTTGTACAAAATTTTAATAAACAATATACGTTTTCCTGAATGATTTAAGTGAAAAAGTACGACTTGACTCTTATTGTGCACAAAAGTAAAAGGAAACATAAAGTAAAAGGAAATATAGATATGAGTGAAATGGATGGCTTTATTTGGTATATAAACATGAGGAAAAAAACAGAAATGAGAAATGAAATCAGTACTGCGGGAAAGTAATGTAAGTAACTATGTAAATATTACACATTCTTTTTTTTTTTCTCTGAGATTGAGATATGCTTTCCTGGACAACTTATCACAGATTTCAAAGTATATTTTCCAATTCAACATTTACAACAGAAAATGTAAATTTTTTTCTTTGAAATTTTCTAAAACGAAGAAAGACTTAAAATCCAACTATACATGGTCCTAAAAATGCACGTCTAGCTAAGTTTTATTTCAATGTCAACTTTTTAAAATAAAGGTCGAATCTTGTTATTTTCAAATTTATTTATTATAATTTGCAAAATCGTTTAAAATAAATCCCATCCCAACGCACTAACAATCAAAATAGGGAAATATGATAAAATTATACCAATACCAACGACGATTTTGAAGAAAGGAAGTCCGGTCTCCTTATCGAAATTTAAGTGGACTTGTTCGATGGCTAAAACCTAATTTAAAAGCACGTGATCATATACAGCAGAGAAAGGTATATTATACAATATGTACGGTGTGTATAGTTTGACCACTCAACTTCTCTGATGATTGATGCTAATTCTTGTTTTGTACATATGAAGATAACACAAGTTTAACAACAGGTTGAGATAAATTGAAGAAATGAGAATATTTTCCCGATAAAGATTTGGTGCTTGTTTACCGGTTTCTAGGAAGAGGCAGTATAGAATCTTTTTCAGGAAATTTGTGTCATGTATCAACCGACTTCCGGAGTTACGTCAAAGTGAGAAATGTGTGTATTTGACAAATACTGTGACTGGAATTCACTGAAAGTGGATGCTTAACACGATTTTTATTGGGGGTGAGAATAGTGTTTCATCCAATCAAATTATTGTACTGGATACATTTTCTTGAATGATAAGTAATATTCTCGAAACTGTAATTATATGATCGCTAAGATTTGCAGAAAATCTTAGAAAATACTGTCAGCAGTGGAAAACTGCATACGGATGAGTCATAATCTACATGTAGTTTTGAAAGAAATCCACAACCATTTTCCTTCTTCTTTTGGAAAGACCATTTCGTTATATCTGAGATTTCTTTAATTAACGTTTTGAACCACTGGTAAAGGAACATTTCCTTCCAGCATCTGTTGTATCTTGCTCTAAGAGGGAAATAAAAGACGTATTGGTCCAGGAAGTGAAAAATAACTTGCACGATCGGGGAAATAGCACAGAATTAATCATTATTTGGGGTCATTTAAGATGAAGTGGGGAAAAAAGCTATTTTGACTCTTGTGTGTTCCATGTTTAGAGGAATATTTTTCGTCTTTTTTTCTTCATGTTTGAAAGTGAATTTTGTCTTGAAAATATGTGAATTCCTTGATGAATAAAGGTATATCTATTGAATTTCTTTTCATTTTCTGTAAATAAGACATCTGAAAAGAGAGAAGTAAATTACCATTGCCATTTTTAGTTTTTTTTTATAAAAGTTTCTGTAAACATACTTCTGAGTGAATTTCATATATTGTGAATTGTACGAGTGTCTTTAAATGTAGTGTGCATATGCATGTTGATTTTATCAGGAAATTGTTTGTTGCACTTTTTGCCAAATATAATATTGATATCCTCAATTGGAAAAAAAAAATCATTTTTGCTGTTATACATTTTGCAGTTTAATTGGAAAAATATTCATGTTGATGATTTATCTAATCGGGGACTATTCTTGGCGTTTGAATTTTTAGATTTTTTGAATTTAAACTTAGAAGAGATGACGTCCATCCTTTTCACGTGAATTCAGTGCATTTTCATATATTTCAGGGCAACCAAAAGTGTGAACTTCCAGCGGCCTCGAACCACAAGGAAACTGTTTTATAATCTACCTGTAAATAAATGATGTCTCTACTACAAGCCACGAACTCGGAAGGCGCATATATGCGTTCTGAATCACGTAGTCGGTATCAATAATAAAATGTGATGATCCATTTCGTGAAAAATTCCCAACTGTTTATTAACTTACATATTCGTTGTGCAGCAAAATAAGTTTGTACATAACAAAACGGTCAGGTCGTTAGAAACCATTACTGCCTCGTTACAATGGGGAACGCTCCACCTCGAAATTCTTATAAGGTAGATCCAGACTATACCTCAACCGGAAGTACGGAGAGTTTACCCTCCCCTAGATGTTATCGTTACAACCTAACTCAGGGCAAAAGTCAAGGCCAATACGTCACGCCAACTATGACAATGAAAATATCATGTGAAAACTTGCAACATCTTTGTTGCAGTCCAGATGGGACGGTTTGGGTGTGTAGACGACCTCAGATACTCCAGCTTAATTCAAAAGGTCAACATCAGCTCGTTTTAGAAGTCAAAATTGAGATTTGTGGTTTGGCTGCAAGTAAAAAGGGCTCCCTAGTTTTCACAGATGGGAAAAACAAGCGTCTCATATGTACGGAATTTAATGATGACGTCATCACTAAGAAAGTCATGTCCACGGATGACTGGTACCCAATCGGCGTCTGCTGTGCCGAAAATGGTGATATCTTAGTTGGACTTTTTAAGCCAGAGGAACAGGGGAAAGTCAACCGATATGGCGTAAATGGAGAAACAAGAGATGCTATGCAACAAGACAGCAGTGGGAGTCAGTTGTTCAAATTTCCAGCTTTTGTCACTGAGAATGGAAATGGCGATGTTGTCGTTTCTGACCACCTTAGGCGCTCTGTGATTGTTGTCGATCGATGGGGAAGGTATCGATTCACATACACTGCAGAAAAGTTAAATCGCCCGGATGCTGTTCCTTTCTTACCGTTTGGAGTTTGCTGCGACTCATTATTGAACATCATAGTCTCTGATTGTTGCAATGACTGTGTACATTTAATATCCGTGAATGGTGAGTTCCTGCATCTGTTGTTTGATAAGACAAGTGGGTTGTACCGTCCTGTGGCACTATCCATGAGCTCTGAAGGAAAACTGTATATAGGGGACAGAAATGGTATAAAAGTTTTCGAATTGGACAGTCATAGATCATCTGTAGAGGATGGAAAAGGTTCAAGGGCTAACAGTTTCTCATCAGTAGGGCAATACAGGATTTCTAATGACAATGAAAAACTGAAGAAGTTAGAGAGTTTTCAAGTTATGTGTAAATCAAAAAGCTCATTAAGTCTAAAATTGACAACAGCTGAAGGTAACAATCACAATTACAACTTTGGAGTAGGAACTCCTTCGAGTCGATCCAAGACACGGACTCTTTCAAACCTGCCAAGAAATAACCCAAACATTGCTGTGTCCCCGAACACGTCCAGAAATAAGGCAAGTACTTTACCAAGAGTCACTGCTTTACTTAGCAAATCAGTTTCAAATTTGAATACCATTGCTTCAACTAACAAGTCAGACATCGTAAAACCAGTATCATCATTCAAAACATCTACAGCGTCTTTGGCATCACCAAAAGTTTCTTCGAAGCATTCAACTGCATTAAAAGATAAACCAAACGCACTGATGACTTCTACATCCTTAGTTAACATTTCCCCTCAAGTTTCTAGATCACAGGCAAAATTAAATTCAGCCGCGCAGTTAACTGTATCAACAAAGACTACTTCTGAAGAATTATCGAACAAAATGAAAGAAGTATCGGTGTCCGCATCATCAAACAAATCATCGCCAGCTACGCTGGTGGTTTCATCATCAAATAAGCAACCAACATCATCACACATATCAAAAACTATTCAGACTTCAAATGCAGTAGCAAATAAACCAGTGGCATCAAAAACGACTATGTCATCAAAAGGGTCTGTGACGCCAAAATCGAATGTCACTGAAAAGGTTAAGTCAAAAGCTGGTGTTCTTTTTGTGGATTCAGCACCGGAGGCGCTTGAGTCCTCTAAAACATTGAACAACAATGTCGGTTCAAAAAAAGTAATTCGTGAAGAGACTCGGGATGGACAAGAACCTGCCAATGTTTCAAAACCAATTCAAGCAAATTCAGTGGAATGTGCAAATGAAAGGTCTGACAAGACCGAAATAATCGAACACACAGAAACAAAAACAAAAAAGGAAGATCCTTTACAAAGTAAATCGTGTACGGACATTAACAAAAGGATACCTTTAAAAGTGTCTGATGAAGACAATCCATCGACAAAATCGTCAACCTTAAGTAAAAAGAAAGTAAGAGATTCTAACATTATTGAGTCTACAAGAATATAACCGAGATATGTGTTTTTAAATTCGTGGCATCTTTATGGAAATTTATAGTGAAAATCAAGGAAAACATCTAACATTACACAGAATATAATATATTATGTATATAATGAAAGATGCTCTTCTTATCATCTTTGTGGAACCTTTTAAACTTATGTAAGGTGCAATAAGTTATTTCAAAATTATTCTAATAAGAAACTTGCATTGTTGTGCAGTTTATTGACTATAACTTTTACGATTTCAGTATGAAACTTTTATTTTGAAAAGGAAGCACTTGTGATCTACATTTTAAAGAGAGTAAATTTCCAAAAAAGGAAGCAATGGGACTCATTTGGTTTGTAGAAAAGTAATTTCTTAAATTACAGTGATATGCAAGGGGTCTTAGAGTACGGTTGTAAACGTGCTTGGTTTGGACTTTTAACAGGTTAATTGTTTAATTTTAGCAATTTATATTGAGATCATTCACTTTCTTTTAACAAATCCAACAACAACACTTTCAATCAAAATCTTTATCTTTATATAATAAAAAAAATGAAACCCCAATTTGCAAAGAAGATTATGCTGCAAAAATAATTTATCAATTACCCTTTGAAACAGTTTGTCCAATATCTTTGTTCAGAACCTACAATTAAAATACACATTACCCATGTATGAACATTGCAATTATAGTTGGATAATTTAAACTTACAATTATTGTTTCTTGTACATTTCATTTTATTATTTTTTTATATTCGTTATTAAAGAGTACATATGTAGAACACATGTATTATGTACAGTTATCAAACTGTATACAAGTGGCATCGTGTATTAAACTTTATGATTACAATGATGCATTACAAGTATGATTACAATGATCATTTTAATTATTGACAAAGTACTTATAATTCTGAAATGCGCCATCAGAGGCATGAAACGTCACTTCATTTATGTTTTTATGATTTTTGTGAAAAAAAAATGTGGTGTTTATTTTTAAAAAGACTGCTAATTCATAATTAATTTTTAGTCTTTTTTTTAAAGAACATTAGTACATGGAGAATTTTAATCGTCCATTTCTTCCAGAATCCCTTGCTGATCAAGTCTTTGCTAAATATAACTGATAAAATTTAAAAAAAAAAAAAAAAAAAGTAAATTATCCTTATGAACTATCCTCATCAAATACCCTTATGAACTATTCTCACTAAATATCCTACAAATATATACTTTTTTTTCTAAATCAGGTTATGTTTTATATTATAATTATAATATCAACAACTTCATAACCAAAATATGTGCTACATGTATATCAACGTCATCATATAGATTAAAATCAGTATATTCATTTAAAAAAAAAAAAATAAATACATGTATCATTATCAGTGGTAGCAATTGAGGTAAGACATGAAAATAGACTGTAAGAATTGCACAAAAGAAAGATCAAAGTATGGCTAGGGCTCCATTTTGATCATGTCGATAATATGAACATTTAGAAAGGTGAAATCGCGATAGTTTGAAAAGTAAATCCCTCAGCTGATCCCTAGTTCAAAACAAGTGTTCAATTATTTATTATTATTTTTATATATCTTTATTTATTATTTAAAATATCAATGAATTTTTATCATCAGAGATGCATGATAGTAAAATGTTAGACAATTTCCAGGGTTCGTAAACTTCAAATGAATTTTCACTGAATTATAAATACATTTAAAAAAAAAGTTTATTTTGGAGAACACGAATATCAACCGAACTTGTCTTGTTTTCATCAATCGAACTTGATTTATTTTGTAAAGGCAATTGAGTCTAATAAAAATGCAACACATATACCAAATGTATTTTAAGACTGAAGAACAATAATTATAAATTGACGGAAATGTAACAACTTTATGAACTTCCTGTGAATCTTGTGTTTTGCTATCACAAAAAAAAAAAAACAACATAAAAACAATTAATTAAATTCTATTCTCATTTTGACACAGGCTTTAACGCAATGAACCAACGCAATGTTCTGTTATTCCTAAAGGGAAAATATTGATTCGGGTTTATGTTAGTAAATTCCGCATAGGTTGATTGATTGTATGTTGTTTTACGTCCCATTCGAGAATTTTTCACTCATATAGAGACGTCACCATATACCGGTGAAGGGCTTCAAATTTTGACCTTTATTCGGCACTCAGGGCCTTGAGCAGTGAGGGATCTTTATCGTGCCAACGCCTGCCGTGACACGGGGCCTCGGTTTTTAAGGTCTCATCCGAAGGACCCGCAACTTTCACTTCAAAGTGCCGAGCGCCTGCATAGATTGAAATACGTTATCAACGTCATCGTCGTGAATTCATGACATCAAATGTAGATGTATTATGATGCTTTTCAACCAATTAACAATAGATTTAAACAAAGACAAAAGATACATAAGAATGATTAGTCACACTCAGTGTATTTCTGCATCATCAATTAATGCTACATGTACATCATTCAAATAACCTCAATGTCTGATCATGAAAGGTAAATCTGATTACAGCAATGATAAGTAAATAGAATCCCTGCATATTGCGGGAAGTCCTTGGGAGTAAATTAGGGCTGGGTATTGTCCAGAACTTTCGTATTGCGATATATTGCAATATTTTTAACTGTATTGCAATAGGTATAGCAATATTTCAACGAAAATTAAAATGGCATTTTCTTATTTATTTATATCAACTTCCATTTACATGCAGAATGTACAAATCTATGTTAAGTAAGCAAAAGGGAAAAATCCGATTGATTTAATTACAGTTATGCACTGAAATACACCCATACAACAGCTTCTGTCTTACTGTTTGGCTTAATTACAGACCTTTCTGACAGTGTTTTTTTATATTTAATGATAAATTTCCCGAGTGTATATGTATATGTAGATTTGGAGACTAGCTCTTTAACAATCTATTGTATTTACCATGGGTGTTAATTGTGTCGTAATTAATGACCTGTTTTTGTATTCATATTAAGCAGAATTTATTCTACATGACTAGAAGAAGTCTCATGCTGTAGCCCTCCATTCGAGATTTAAATACATCGATGACTTTTTATCAATTAACAATATTCATTTTGATTCCTTCTTTGTTTCGATATACATGTATCCCACTGAACTCAAAATAAAAGACATCACAGAGTCTGACACAACTGCTTCATATTGGGATGGATGATGTAGTTAAGACATTGATGACATATCTTATGATGAATGTGCTCACCTCAACTTTTCTATCATTAAATTCCCTTGTTTATATGTAGCAATTTATATACCATTGTCTCCTGCGTATGGAGTTTATGTCTCCCAGTTGATTCGATACTCAAGGGCAAGTACAATTTTTGGAACAAGGCAGGATACTGACAAATAAATGATAATACAAGGATATCAACAATCTCGGTGAAAGTCAGTATTTCGTAAATCCTATGGTCGATACAATGACATCGTTTACAAATACAATTTGTCATTAGGTCGAAATTACCTGACGTCTTCATACAATTTTAAGCCAATCTTTTCACACTGAATTGTCTAGGGATTTTTCCGTTTATCCGATCATGACAAGTAGCACAAGGCGGGTATCACAGATTTACACCTCCTTGGCACCTAGCTGATTCCAGCACTGTTTTCATAGGTCCGTGTTACTACAATACTACAACGACTCTTTAAATTACTTTGGAAAACAAAATTCTTTCTTGCATCATATTGATTACTGAAGATATGGTATACAAGGACTTATTAGCAAATACAATGTATCAGAAGTCAAATAGTGACAGACGTTTCGTTTAACTGATCAGGACAAGTAGCATATTGCGGGTGTGACCGGTCTACATGGGATGCTTACTCCTCTGTGGCACCTAGTCCCACCTCTGATGTTTTTAGAGGTCCGTCTTTGCTCTGCTTCCAGTTTGTACTGTTTCAATGGACTCCTGAGTTTGATTACTGTTCGTTACCTTCATATTTCTTTTTATACATATACATGTATATTCAATTTCCAATCCACATCATTTAACAGATATTTCTTGCAGTTGATATGTATTTTAATGTTCAAAAACACAACTGCGTAAAATGTTCACATGGAAAAGTTACTGAAAGTTAAACAAGATGAGTTTGTAAAACACTGATCCCCCCCCCCCCATGACAACGCATTGCCAAGTTTTGTAACTCATTGCCAAGCTTCTCAAACAAATGCAAGTCAAATTCTAAGGTCAAAAGGTAAAAGTGTTGGTACCCAAAGAAAGGATTTGTCACAAGGAATACACATGTGAAATATGAAAGCCCTTGCATCAACCATTCAAAAGATATTGCCAAGGTTGTAGTTTTTTTTCAAAAGTGGGCCATACTCCAAGGTCAATGTCCAAGATCATAAATAATGGTACCCAAAGGAATCTTTTGTCAAAAGAAATGTACATGAGAAATATGAGGGCACTAGCACCAAACGTTCAAAAAATATTTCCGTGGTTAAAGTTTGGTAAAATTTTGCAAAAGTGGGTCAAACTCCATCAAGAGGTTAAATATTGGTACCAAAAGAAATGTCTTGTCACAAGGACTACACAAGTAAAATATGAATTCCGTAGCTCCAGCAAAGCAAATGTTGTGGGCAATATTAAAAGTTAAAGTTTTTGCAGACGAACAGACAGGCGGGCAGACCAAACACTATAGGTACTGAATCTTTGATAATCCGTGGGTTTTTATTTCTTCTTCAGCAAATTTATATTCACTATATCTTTGAAATAATTATTACACATGGGCTGTATTTGAAAATACTTTCCTCTTATCAAAGAGGTGGAAGGCTTGCATGTTCATTTAAAAAATCTAAGTCACTGGCTTCTGTCCCTTGCCCAATTTCGATGAATTTAAAATAATTTTTTTCTTCTTTTGTTTATTTCTTTTCATTACCCCATTTGAAGTTTGTCTATTAACATAAAAAGGGGAAGTATACATAAACTTAGCGAAGTCCTTTAAACTCTTTGAATGAAATATGGAGATAACGAAGAGTATCTAAGCTCATAGTCCATTTAAACAATACAAATCGGGAGTAGAACAAACACGAACCTCCAAAAACATCAGAGGCGGGATCAGGTGCCATGGAGGAGTAATCATCCCCTGTCGACCGGTCACACCCGCCGTGTGCTCCTTGTCATGATCGGTTTCAGTTTGCAATGGCTTAACAATTAGTATGAAAAACGTCAGTCAGCATTTGATCCAATGATAGACGGTATTTGCCGACATCGACCATAGAACTTGCCAAATGATGACTTCAAATGTTGATATCCTTGTTCTGTCAACTTGTTGCTTAATAACTTGCCTCGTTTTAAAAATTGATCGTATGTAGAACATGCTCTTGCGTATCGAATCAACTGAGAGACATAAACTCCATACGCAGGTGGGGTTTTGGAGGGAATAGTAAAAATAACAAGAAGTTTGTGAGCCAATGCTCACTAGTAATACCCCCGCTTTGATGTGAATACACAAGTTCAGTAATGGACAGACACAAGGATGAACAAGAAGTTGACATCAGATTCATACAAAAAAGAATCCCACCATATTGCAGGCCTAAACAAAGAGTGTGCTAAAATTTCAAGCATCTGCAATTAGTAGTTGCTGAAAAAAATGCGACAAAATTTTGTTCTAAATGGTACGGACAGATGCACAGATAAACAGGAAGTTGATATCAGATTCATACAAAAATTAA